TATATCATATTTGTACACATTTTTCTTTATCCTCTTCTTTTAGCTCTTGCTCCTTTATTAATGTTGAGATAATATCTTTGGTGAATATCTTTTGAGCAAAAATATCATCTTGGCAGAATGTTTTGTGCTTTGGTATTGTTTCATATTGAAAGGGTTATTCGGAATTTCGAACCTTTGGGTGCCTTGCTTTTGCTCACAATCAAAGAGCTATGGGAGATAAATTTGATAGTTGAAGTAAAAACTGCAATTTTGTGGGTTCTAGTTTAGGAAAAATGGTTTTGAAAATATTTGAACTTGAGCAAAAAGAATTTTCTTTTGAATATGGGAGAGTGCACAAGAATTTAGATAGTGCAAAAAAGTAATTGAAGAGATCAAAAGTACTAAACAATGATGGTTTGATGGGATTGGTTGCTATGTTTTCACCTATTATTTCAAACATGATATATTTGTTCTCTGTCACTATTTTTTTTTGCGTTATTTGACTTTTCACGGTCTTCATTACTCTAATATGTGTCTTAAAGCGTATATAACTCCATTTTCATATGCGTAAAAATTATAAAAACTAGATATTAATAAAATATATTATGAGACGAATCTAACAATACCCCACATAACTATATTGTCTCTAATAGATTAATGAGAATATATGGTCAAAGTTTGTGAACTTTGACTCGATTATATGTAATGGGGCAAAAAATAGGGACAAATAAAGGGAATAATGCTTATTTTTAAAATTGAGGGGGTTGACATGAAAATAGAGGTTCTGCATGAGAGAAGAATAACACTGTCAAATTTCAAACCGAAACCGTTTAACTACCCGAAACCAACCGACCCATATGAGAACCGAACCGATTAAAAACCGATTTTTTTGAAATTGAAAACTGACCTGAACCGTATTTTAGTAAACACAAATCCGAACAGATCCGAATAATGTTAAATCGTATAATAACCGAAGCTGTTAACGAACCGAAATAAAACTGAACTGAAAAAGAACCGAACCGTTTCTAACCCGAAACCGTTTAAACCGGGATCAAAACTATTTACCCAAATCCTTAACAAACCGCAACCCGTTTGCACCGAATCGTTAATAAACCGCAACCCGTTTGCACTGGACCGTGTACAAACCGAACCGTTTATAAACCGAACCACTTACAAAACGAACCGTTTATGAACTGAACCGCTTATAAATCGAACAGTTTACAAACCGCTTACTATAAAGGGAAGATTAAATCACGTTCAAAAGAATTTTATATGAAATCGAATTATGCACACATGTTTACTACGAAGTACATTATTGTTTTCCCCAACTTTTTTATGTAATTATGGATTAAGCAAAAATAGTCTTCATTTCTCTTTAAACGACATCATCAAAGTTTTTTTTTGCTCGGAATTATATTGGACCAAATCTGGCTTAGTCAATTCTTATGATGTACTTCCTCCATTCTAATAATATGCAACAACTGAACTTTTTCACTATTCATCATGCTTGTTTGACCACAAATTATGATTTATACATAAAGTAAAATATAGTTACGTGGGGTCTTGTTAGATTCATCTCATAAAATACTTTCACAATATTAACTTTTTATAATTTTTACTCTTATATAATTATAGATATTTAATATATAAAGTGTGATTTGGGATGCGTAATTTCATCCTTGTTGCAATATTTGTGGAACAGGGGAAGTATTATTGTAATTCTCGAAATATTTAGAATGAGATGATTGCATCCTTTGATCTTTCAAAATCAAATTAAAGTCAATACAAAAATTATAATAAAGAATATTATTAATCAATATATTAATTGAAAAAGAACTCGAAAAATTCTAACTTGAAAAAGAAGATTTTTTTTATTAAAGAAGACTTTTTCTCAAAATTTGAATTGAGGCACATGGAATAAATCAATGCACAATTGCCCGAAACCAACAGACTCAAATGAGAACCGAATCGATTAAAAACCTATTTTTTGAAATCGAAAACTAACTCAAACCGTATTTTAGTAAACCCAAAATCGAACCGATCCGAATAATGTTGAACCGTATAAGAACCGAACCCGTTCTAAATCGAACTGAAATAAAGCCGAACCGAAAAAGAATCGAACCGTTTCTAACCCGAAATCGTTTGAACCTGAATAAAAATCGTTTACACCGAACCGTTAACAAACCACAACTCGGTTGCATCGAACCGTTTACTTCCCGAACCGAATTAAAACCGCTCAGGAATAAACCGAAACCGAACCGAACTGATAATAATTTGAACGAACTGAAACCGACCCGTAAGGCACTTGAACCAATTTCAAAACGAACCATTTTCAAACCGAACTATCAAACCCTTTTAACAGTGCTAGATGAGAATGTTGCATAGCACATAAACTTAGTAATGTAAGCCCCTCGTCATATTTGAATAAAATAGCCTTCTACATTACACAAGATTAAAAAAAATGAATATGTTAAATTATTTAATTGGGAAGAACTCAAAGAAGCATATTATAAGTCTTTGCATAAGTGAAGATGGACACATGACCAATAACATGTTTGGACTTTTAGCATTATGTTATGATACAATGCTTGTATGTAAGCACTGTCAAAAACCGAACCGAACTGTTTCAACCGATCCGAATGAGAACCGAACCGATTAAAAATCGATTTTATGAAACCGAAAACCGACCCGAACCGCATGTGAGTAAAACCAAAACCGAACCGATCCGAGTAAACGTTAAACCGTTTAAGAACCGAACCAAATCTAAACCAAACTGAAAGGAAACCGAATCGAAAATGAACCGAACCGTTTCTAACCCGAAACCGTTTGAACTGGCATAAAAAACCGTTTACACCGAACCGTTAACAAACTGCAACCCGTTTGCACCGAACCGTTTATAAACCGAACTAATTATAAACCGAACCGTTTATGAACCGAATCGCTTCTAATTCGAACCGTTTACAAACCACTTCCTACTAGGGGTGGTTATTGGGCGGGTCAGTGCGGTTCATTATCTCCTCAATTCATCCCTCGTTATTATGACCTCAGTATGATGTCCACTATTAACTAAATGATCAAATAAGAAGTAGATAATAATCTGATAGTAAAACAATATTACATTAATGCACTAAACTTTTATAATCTAATTCGTAATAAACTAGTAAGATCAGTATGGCTAAACTGGAAACATAACATGATATGTATTTATAAAATTAATGAGAATTTGCATATAATATGATGCCTCAATATGAAGTGATGAAATCTCGGCTTGATATAAAACTTGTTAACCAGCAAAAAGTTAGAAAGTAGTATAAAATTTCAAACCAAAATCGTTTAATTGCCAGAATCCAAACGACTCGATAAAAAAACCGATTTTTTGAAATCAAAAACACACCCAAACCGTAATTTAGTAAACCTGAAATAAAACCGATCCAAATAATGTTAAATCGTAGAAGAACCGAACCCGTTAACGAACCGAACCAGTTATAAACCGAACTAAAATAAAACTGAACCAAAAAAGAACCGAACTGTTTCTAACCCGAAACTGTTTGAACCGGGATAAAAAACTGTTTACAACAAACCGTTAACAAACCGCGACCCGTCTGCACCGAACCGTTTACTACCCGAACTGAATTTAAAACGGGATAAAAACCGTTTACACCGAACCGTTAACAAACTGCAACCCGTCTACACCGAACTGTTTACTACCCGAACCGTTTACAATCCGAACCGAATTTAAACCATTCAAGAATAAACCGAAACCGAATCGAACCGATAATTATTTAAACCGAACTGAAACCAACCCGTAAGACATTTGAACCGATTTCAAACCGAACCAAAACCGAACTGTCAAACCGTACAGTACTACTTGTGAGTAATCTTGTACTCCATACTAAACATTGTGCTTTTGACTTGATTAGACCTTTGCTATTTTGTTTAGAAAAAATTATGTTGAATTTTGACAACAAAATTTTCTCTTTAAAGCTTTGAGAAATTGAGAGCCTTAAGAAAAAATTAGTGCCCAAGAAGTAATTGTGCATAAATAGTTCCGAGTAATATATTTTTGATCATTAAGATTACTTATAGACAAGAATAAAATATTCTATCAATTTTATAAAACTTATTTGACTTTGTATATTTCTTGAATGGACAAATACAAAGTACTCCGTTCTACAGTACTACGTATATAGATTACAAGTCCGAAGCATTGAAGGAAAAAGTCAAAGAAAGATAGAAAATTAATGGCACAAGATATTTTTGAAATTTTATGTAAACCCGGGTGCATTATGCACCCAACTAATTCAAAGTTAGTTGGTGTTGTTAAACGTCGTTCGCATTTTACTAGGTGACGTTCACATTTTTTATAGAATTTCCTAAATTGCCCTCCGTATATAAATACTCGATAAAGTAAGTTAGGGCTTTACGAGACATTTCCCATCTCACAAAATCACTCTTTGACACTTTCTCACTCTAAAACCTTCCAAAAACTCTGAAATTTTGAAAAAAAAAAATCAGAATTTTTTTTTAAAAAAAAAAACCAAAATAGTTGAAGGCTACTCAAACACAAGCAAATCTTGCAATTTAACGTTGAATCCGACAATGGCAGACCGACGGAGAATTAGGCTGACGTTTGGTGGTCGTGGTGGCGGCATTAGCGGCGGCGAGCCGGTGAGTTTTTTTTTTGTTTTAAATTTTTGAATTTTGAAAAAAAAAATTCTGGACAAGGGGACTTCCGCCCAGAAATTCCGGAAGTCCAGGGGAACTTCCGGAAATTTCAGGCGGAAGTGGGGTTTCCGCCTGAAATTTTCGGAAGTTCCCCTGGACTTCCGGATTTTCTGGGCGGAAGTCCAGTTTCCAGGTTATTTTTATTTTTTTTTATATTTCTGTTATTCCCCTTTTTTTTTCCTGTTTTTCCCTTTTTTTTTGGCTTTTGTGTTTTTCTGTTTTTCCACCTTTTTTTTTGTTTTCTGTTTTTCCTTTGTTTTTTAATTTTTGTTTTTCTTATTTTTTTTTGTCCTCGATTTTGTTGATTTGGTGCATGTTTTAATTTGAAAATATTTGTGTCCTTCATTTTTTTTTTTTTTTTTTGAAGTAATTTGTGTCCTTCATTTGTGGCATTAAAATAATTTTTTTCTTGATTTAGTTTTGCAATAGTTATTGATATGTAATTTTTGTTGATTTAGTTTTACAATAATTATAGTTTTACAATAATTATAGTTTAGCATTAAAGTAAGTTTGTTGTTGCTATGTATTGTTATTGTTATGTAAATTTGGTTTGGTTTGTATTGGTTTTTGCTGCTGTTGTTGTTATGTATTATGGTTGTTTACTTAAATTGTTGTTATTGTTATTGTAATTGTTTTTTTATTGGGTTGTCGTTGTTGCGTTTAAATTTTGGCAGTTTTGTGGTTAATTATAGTTTTGATTTGGTCTGTTATTGTGTTGAAATTATTTGTAGTGTGTTAGTGTGTTGTTATTGTTAGTAGTGTATTAGTATTGTAAGAATAATATTATTGTTATTATTTGTAATGCTGTTATTATTGTTTATTTGATTTGATTTATTATAGTTTTGATTTGATTTTTTTGACTATGAATTATTATTGAAATATTCCTCGTGCGTCCGCCTGGGATGTTGGATCGGGGTGCCCTAACAAGAGCATGGAGCGCCTTCTCGCTTTTCGGGCTAGGTTGGATCATTTGACTGACAATGAAGTTAACTGGCTACCGTACGGAGTTGATCCAGCACGACGCGTGCCTGCTACTCTTTTCATTGGCTGCATCCAGTATCGTAGCATCATTGAGCCATACATGCCTGATCGAGTGGTTCGGCAACCTGGATACGTCCAGGGCATTCCACCAGCCATTATCAGGCCTGAGAAGGCTAAGAGACCGACGAACTTGAAGATGTATCGGGTTGACTTTCCGCCAGAGATGACATCTGTGACGTGGACTCGGTTTGTCCCTGGTATGTCTTTTAGTGTCGTGGTAGGTGCCCTCAGCAGACTTGGTGGTGGTGCTCCTACAGTCGGTCCTGGTTACATGCAGTGGCTGTACCGATTTTCTCATCCACGTGTTTCTCCAGTTGCGTCATCACATGAGAGTCGCACACTGCCAGAGAGAACTAACACGGATTACGTAAGTAGTTGTATTTTTTGGTATAATTTAATAAGTTGCTATTTTAATATGTTGTTTATAATATGTTGTTTTTAAAAATCCGATTTTTTTAATATGTTGTTTTTTTTTTTAAAAAAACTTGTGATTTATTTAATATGTTGTTTTTTTAATTGAAGTGGATGGGTCGGTCTATGGAGGTCATCAACAGGATCCTGGAGGAGTATCCGAGCCTATCGCGTGATACAAGAGCAATGGCTGAGGCGCTACGAGCTGATTGGAGGGCGATGATGGGGTTGTGAACTTCCTTTTTTTTTTATTTCCCTTGTACGCATTTCATTTATGTACTATTTATTCGTCACGTACTTTAAGTATTGAACAACTGTTTTGGTGGTTTTGTAAATATTTTGTTTAATTAAGTTCAATTCGTTGCAAATTACATAACGACAACTGTTTAACATAAATGAAAGTACAACAACATGTTCACTATCTAATTAAAGCTCAACCCACTAAATGAAAGTACAACAACATGTTCACTATCTAATTCGCATTCGGGCTCAACCCACTAATTTTACGATGACCCTCTGGATACGCAATCATTGGATGGTTGTGGGTCCCAGTTACATCATCTTTCGCCCGGATAAACCAAGTATTGGTGACGAACTCGTAACATATCTTGATGTAGAAAGGACAACCAATGCCCTTGGTTTTGGTGTCCTTCCGAATTGCGTTCTCAAGATCTCTCGGCTTACTCCTGCGTCCCCGGTCACATCTTAAATATCGAACTGGTCGACCATCCCTCTGTTTGTTGAAAGACGATTTCACCAAAATAAATCCCAGATTTATTGCAACAACATCCGCCCATGTAACTGCATCGTCAAACGTTAGAAAAACCGTGTCTGTCACAAAATGTGCACTGTAATTCACAACGTCACCGTCGTCTTCAACCTCCGAATCCTATCAAAATAACAATACAAACAAATAAAACACGCAAGGATTACTATTTTAAATTTAACAATAATAATAACAATAATAATACAAATAATCATAATAATAATAAAAATAACAATAATAACAATAATAATATTAATAGTATTAATAGTAATAATAATAATAACAATAATAATACTAATGATAATAATAACAATAATAATACTAATGATAATAATAATAACAATAATAATACTAATGATAATAACAATAACAATAATAATACTAATAATAATAACAACAATAACTACGTAACATTAACAAATAATAACTAATATAATAATAATAACAACAATAGTAATAATAATAGTAGTAATAATATTAATAATAATCATAATCATAACAGAAATTTACAAAATTAACAAAACTAATATTAATAACCATAATAATAATAATAATAATAATAATAATAATAATAATAATAACAATAATAACAATAACAATTACGTAAAAAAAAAAACAAAAAAAACAAAAAAAAAGGACATCCGCTTGTTTTTTTCCGGAAATTTGGGGGAGATCCGCCCAAAATTTACGGATGTCCCTAATTACATCCGAAAATTTCATCCGGATGTGTACATCCACCTGAAATTTCCGGATGTTATTGGGGACATCCGGAAATTTTGGGCTGATCTCCCCAAGATTTCCGGAAAAATCTAGCGGATGTCCTATTTACAAAAAAAAAAAATCCGAAATACTTACAGATTCTTCCGTCGAACCCTCCGGCGTGTGAACGCTGTCGTCGTCCATCGTAAAACATCACTCTGTACACTTTCCTTTTCTGGCCCGGGATTTTTAAATTCCTCGGGATTACCGTACAATGGTGGAACCGGGATTTTTTAATGCTCGGGATTTTTTTAACACAAGTGGTGGGTCGGTAATGTTTTTAATGTTGTCGGTAACTAAATTTACCCATGGTGGACCCTTAAATAGATAAAATACCCACAAGGGCAAAAATGTCATTTCAATTAAAAATGTGAACGTCACCCAGTAATTTGCGAACGACGAATAGCAGTTCAATTTTATAATTGATTAAAATGACAGATGCAATGTCTTTGTTCTTAAAATTTTGTTGGATTATTTTACAAGAATACTTGAATTCAAGATCTTGATTATTGGTAAAATTTGGACTAAGCTTGGGGATTGGGATGGTTTTAATGGTTTGACTATACTCATGTTTGGTAGCCTAATCTAATTGGAAGACACATTTTTTTAATATTAATAACAAGATCTTTTTTACAAAAAATATGTAAATTGGACTTAACAAGATTTTTTTTACAAAAAATATGTAAATTGGACTTTATTAGACTTAATTAGAGGACAAACTCATCCCCAAAAATTAGTTTTATAAGGACATCGACAATTAATCAATCATATTAATATCACAAGTATCACTTGATTCGTGTTCGTGTCCAGGCCGCTAGGCAGATCAGCAGATAGCTAGGCCAAAAGGCGTGGCTCCTCAATACTCATCTAACATAAGAGAGCTATACATTGGACAAACTTTTAAGGTAACAAAGAGGGATAATAAACTGGAAAAGAAAGAAAAGAAACTCACTGCTGTTGCAGCTGTTGAAGCCAGCAGCAAGCTATGGGACTAACGCAATTAAAGGTACTGATAATATTTATCTACATCAAGGTATTATTATTACAAGCTTTGAAATTTTAAGAAAATACATCTTAAATCTAAAGAGGGGATCCTACAACACATACATATATAGAGTGATAGCACCTTGTAGCATGCAGTTTTAATGATACAAGTATAACCTAACGTCATCTCAAGAACAGGGCTTCTGAACAACCACTTCGAAGCGTTTTCCAGCATCAAGGTAGAAAGCATAATCTCTCAGGTCTTTACATAATACATAGAAGATGATAATATGAAAGCTAAGATAAGGGCATGGCTTAAATCAGCAAAACCTCAAGGCAGCTTCAAGTTCCTTCTCGTCATCACAGTTATATCCCAACAAATAAGCTCGTGCTGAGAAAAAGAAACGGCATAAGATTTGAAAATAAGTTTGCAAGAATGTAACTCGTAGAGTTATAGTAAAGGTAAGAATTTATACCAAAACGACCAGCTCCCATGAATGGTTCAGCTTCATCAGTTACAACATCTTGCTGTTGCTCCTGGTCCTGTATTTTTAATAAAACATCTTTAATATCAGAATACAACAGTAATGGACAAAGATAGGTATATAGACAATGCAACTTCACATTCTGCTTATTCTAGAACTAGGTATTTGTTCAAGTCCATCGACAAAACTACAAAATAACACAGCAGGAAGAACAAAATGCGATCTACAGCAAGGTACATAAATGGGAAAAAAATGCTGTAGGGGAGGCTAGATACAAGACTGCATGTAGAATTATACAATTAATCACTCAACCTCATTTCCAGACTCAGTTGGACACAATTAGAAAGGGAGGGGAAGTGAGGGATTATATGGACTTGGCTAGAAAAAAATTTAGGGGGGGTGGGGGGGGGGGGGGGGAGGGGGATGTGTGGAGATTTGCACAGGAAAAAAAAATAGTGAAGATGTCAATTTTTGTTATTCTGAGGTGAGTGGGGTGAAGAGACTCTACCACCGCAGACATAAACATAGGAGATACAAAGTATATTTACGTACCCCATCTCCTACAACTTCAGATGGTGAAAGAAGTCTGTCAAAGCAGCGTCCAGATATAGTACAAACCAAAAGCTCATTTGCAGGATCAGCAATAGCTTCCTTGCATGTATCATCACATACTGCAATCACAACAAAATAAATTACCAAAACTGCAATAAGCTTCTCACATATATGATGCCTTGCACAGCCAAACAGGAATATTACCATGAACATTTCCAGTCTTTTCACAAACGAAAACATTCCCAATTTGAAAGAAAGAACAAACCTCCCCAGAGCAAGTATGGTCTGTGACCACCTTATCACTGAGGCCTCTACTGTTCTTCCACATAGATACTTGATCAGCAACCGTTTTGTCAAGAATAATGAGATCGTCATTTACCTTGCATAAAAAAAAAATGTATTAGACTGATGCAGAACAGGCGCGTAAAGGACTAAGTTTTCCTTGCTCCAAAAGTACACAATACACATGAAACAAATAGAAATTAATATTCACACCATGGATCCCAAAACATGATGAGAAGCACAGAACTGGCTAATTTGGAAGTTCAAATATGAGAAATTGAGAACACAAAGTATAAACATTATTAAACTTTCAGTATGATTTGTTTTCATGCCACTTAGTGGAATCAGCATTATCTCAGACTTGGTGTAGCAAACTAACAATGATAAAATATGGCTTACATGTTTGTTTATAAACTTTTAAGGCAGTCAAATATTTGCAATCAGAGATATTTGTTGCTTGGGGTCTGATCCAGTGATCCCCAAGTATCCCACACTTGCATAGCAAATTAGAAATCACACTATGATTTATACAAACATATATCTTTTAGTTGAAATTGCTTAAGATTCTTGTGAAGCAGGAAAAGAGGTTCCAAGGTGATATAAGGCCTTATTTCTTCATAAAAAATTGTATATTCTGGTAGGGGAACTTCATTGAATATCCAGTACTGCATAAACATGTGTTCAAGAGATAAAATAGAATGTTTAAATCTAATCCAGAGATTACCTGAGAAAGAAGTGGAGCTTGACTTCTCTTAGCTGCGTACATTTGAAGATAATATTCTTTAAACTCAGGTTGGCAATTTGTCACAGATTGAACCATATCCTCCTCATCACGCTGCAAGAGTAAAAATGGTTAGAGGTGGAAGAGATTCCATCATACTTCACCCATCTGAAGTAGATAGGTAGAAATAGTGAATTATCTGATTCACTTAAAACTGACACTACATAATGCTGCATTCACATATTACCTGTATATACAGCTTCTTCCAAGCACAGTCCCGTAAATTTCTTGTTGGTGGCAACAACCCCCAACGCAAGCAATACCTGCAGGAATTGTATAATGTGGGCTATAAATAATCTGGCAACTTCATATGACAAGAAGCAATTCAAGGACAATTAAACTTAAATGATAAAAAGTATTAAATCGGCATTGAAATTTGAATTGAAGAGCAGGCACAGCTTTTCTTAAGTGTCACTTCCCCTTCCATTTCCAAGTTATCTTCCTTTTCTTCTCTCATAATGACAGTTACTTTTTCAACTCTTTGTTTTGCCAAAACCCTTATACTACAGGCTGATAACAAAGGAAGCCAAGCTACCTGTTAACATTTAAAAGACTCAAGCGCAGAATGTTTAGCCTACTACTTGAATTTACTCCGTGTTAAATTTTGCAGCTTATTTGGTATGAAGTGGATGGCCAACAAGCTAACAGAAAGTATTTATAAAAAAAAAATTAAATTAAAATTAAAAAATGTAAAAAAAAAAAAAAAAGCTTTCCCATAAGGATGATCTTGGTTGCGTCACTGCGTGAGACAAGGATGAAGGATCTGTCTCTCATGATCATCAACAAAGATCCTCTTTCCTCCACTCGCTTCTATCTAGTGCTGCACGCTCTTACAAACCAACTTTCTTCATTTCAGCCTTAACTCCCCTTATCTTAGTCATTATTCTATCTAGTGCTACACGCTCTAAAAAAACACTTTTGGAAGGTTAAGAGAAGAGGAAGCTAAGAGGAAGTCACGTGAGTCAAACCCCCCCCCCCCCCTTCCACCTGCCAAATTTATAAAAAAAGCTTAAGGCACACTAACGTGAGAGGGGTTCTATTGTCCCTAGGCAAACACCTCTTTGAAGAGAGGCGCAATTTATAAACATTTAAAGTTGACTGAAGTGTTGCGCCATGGGTGCTTCTTGTTGCTCTTCATGCGCCTCAGTGTAGAGTTATCAATTTGGATGATCGGACAGGTTTGATGAGGTCGGGTCGGGTCAATTTTTAAAGTCGAGTCATACCAAATTATTGTGTCCACGCGAGTCAAAATCTGAATCGGATATTTTACGGGTCGGTTTCGGATCAGGTCGGGTCGGGTGCGCTTTTAATACATTGCACGTACACCTACCCCAAACCTCCACACCCATAAAAAAAAATGAATAAAAAGTATAACAAGGGGAAAAAGTAGAACAAGCAGATGTGAACAGGGGAAAAGGGTTGAAGGAGACCACATCCCGTCGTCAGAGAAAAATACCAGCAGGTCTGTGGGTTAAGATCTCATCACAAACCACACGCACCAAGTTTGCGGCATGTGACATCGACCCATGTTAATTGGGTAAGGTTGGAATAAATATTATATCCATTAAATATTTCAAAAAGATTGAAAGCTGTGAAATTCTGCCTTCACTTTAAAAACAACTCAAAAATGTTACAAAAAAACTTAAAAGAGGTTACAAATGGATAAACAAAACATCAAAAAGATCATGACTGAACACATGCACCTACCAAAACGATAGCAAAGAAACCAGAATGGCCTATGGCAAAAGAGGCATGTGCATAATTAATGACAATACAAGCAACAAGGGGTTTTTATTTAAAGGCTTGGTATTTATAATCACTCGGTCAAATTTAAGTAGCAATAACATGATACAATGTATACCCACAAAACGATAACAGCATACCAATCAATGAGAAGCAAAAGCCTGATCTTTGATGAATAGGCAAGACGCAAACAAAATTAAATATATACTCACAAGCGACGCCACAAGGATTCTTCCGATGCTGCATGATTCAAAAACTTGCACACTCGCGAACATGAAATAAGATCCTGCAAGTTGCATAAAAAAGGTAAGTACAAGATATGCTAGCTATATAAATAAAAAGAAAACTTATTTCAATTGAAAATTAAATTTAGATACTTCAGAAGACAGGAACTTGAGAACATGCTGAAATAACTCAGGAGGTATCTTGCTTAATATCCCAGTTTCAATCCTCAACCCGCCAATTATACCGGTACCAGTGCTACAACTTGAACTCTCAGCCTTCGACCCACTATCTCCATCGATATCGCAAGCAGCATTCTCGGTCTCTCCGATAATGTCCTCTGTACGCGTCCTCTTTATTGGTCTCTCCATGTCCTTTGTGTCTTCATCCTGTACATCAAACACACCCACAATCCAAATCATTTCTCAAATGTAGCTAATAGCATGAAATTCCACCAATACATAAATGCTTTGGCTTCTCTACTGAACTTCACCAGTAAAATTGTTGGAAAATTCAACAATCATTAAACCCATAAATTTTCACAATGAAACGTACAATATACAGTATCATGCAACAGAATTACTCACAACCATAAAAATTTGATAAATCTCTTATAAAAATCTTAACTTAGCAAATGGCAATGACAAATTCCCAGATAAATAAAGTAACCAAAAAAACCCCAAATCTAGTATCTTTACTATACGATAATCATTATTTCGTTGTTTAAACATTGGTATATTGAAATATAACGAATAAATTATGATTAAATTGAAATTAGGGTTCATCAGGATAAATTCAAGGGTTAAATTCAGGAAAAAAAGAACAATTTCACAAATTGCTTAGAATTAAAATCAAATAACTTAAGAGGGAAAAAACAAAACCTGATCAGAAACTTCGGAGAGAATCTCAGATTCGAGAAATTGAGCAAGATTCTCCTCTTCCTCATCCAAATTCAAATTCGACATCTTTTTTCAATTTCGAAATTGAAATTGGGATTTTCAAAAACACGACAAGAAATAAATTAGGGTTTCTTTGAAAAGAAATTTACGGCAATGAATACCGGCGACCGGCGAAACTTCGCCGGCGGTGAAAAAGCGTATATATATGTGACGGTGAAATTCCATTTGTTGGTGTGTTTCAATGATGCGAGATATTCGCGTCGGTTTAGTTATTGGGCTGGCTGCCCACTGGGCCAATTATTTGGGTTGTTTTTGTAGCTTTGTACCAGACTTGTGATGGACAAATTCACACCATCACATAATCACACGTAATAAATGCATAGAAATGAATTAATAACATTAAAATAACAAAAGGACTGAATTACTCATTCGTCATTCACCAGGTTTCATTTTGTTCATTTTGTTTTCCAATTCATTTCATTCGACAGTTCTACCTCTTAATCCCTAATCCCTCGAAATCCTTCAATCTGGACACTAGAGACGAAGAAGTCATTCACCTTTCATAAACCCTTCGGTCTAAGGTTTGTTTTTTGTTAAATTTATTCTTGAATTGTTGTAATTTTTCTTATGAAATGGTTTAATTGTTGTATAAATGGTTGTAATTAAGTAATGGATTTGTTATATGATTGTGAAAATTTTTAGATCGTATAATTGTGCCCAAATTGACGAAGACTACTGTTTCTGAGTTGTAATTTTTCATATGAAGTGGCTTGATTTTTTATTTTCATATGGGTATTAATGAAATCATTAATATTGGAAAAACCCAATTGAAATTAGAATAATAGATTGAAATTGTTGAAAGAATTGGGGAATCTAGGATTGTAAAGTATAAGACTTTGTTGAATATGCATTGTAGCTACTCTAATAGGGCTGGTAAACTTATCTATTGATACTCTGTTTGTCTCTTTGAATCAAGCCTTGGTTATTTTAGTGTTATATGCATTTGTTTTAAGTTTCTTCACTTGCAAATTTTATTGGTTTTCGGTTGAAGTTTTGGTAGTGATGGGTCATTTCAGTGTTATACCGATGCCAATTTTGTTTGTGTTTTCGGTACCATTACTTTGAACGTGTATTGTTCTTGAACAAATCATCATTTGAACAAATCATCATTTGAACAAATATGTAAAGAGATTAAACTTCATCAGTTCCCGAAGCTTTTTATTTTCTTCTAATCGTGATGCTCTATTTCTTAATTGTATATGTGCTATATACACTGCAGATTGATACAAATTCATATGTTTTATCCAAATTTCATTTCAAGTTCTCATTTGTTGGTTTGGAGGCACTTTCAGTATCAGCCACATGCATCTGCTTCATTGTTTTTTAGGACATTTGTCTCTATAGTATACTTCCTCCATTCTTTTTTACTTAACTCGCTTTGACTTTTACTTTATTCATCACCCATTCTTTGACCATCTTTTGTGAATAATATGTGGAAAAACATATTCATGTGTGATCTTTTTGAATTCGTCTAAATAAGTACTAATTTGGGTAAAAAATACCTAGGCCACTTGGTCCAATCATAAGGAGACACGTGTCACCCCAGGAGAGATCCAAAAAGGACCAATCACTAGTTAACACGTGGTACTCTCAATCATCAGGGAAAAAGGCGGCCTTCAAAGGCCCAAAGCGGCGCAACCCATTTACCTAGGTTGATGACCTAGAAAAGGGGGCACTAATTCCCATGACCCTATAAATAGGGACATTTACCCCAATTTGGGGACACATTCATTTATTACATCACACTCAATTCTCTCACATCAGATTGGAGAAAACACTAGATCTTGGGATCCAAGAAGATACTTTTACTTTCCGCACATTTACTTCACTTCGATCGTTTCTAACTTGATTGTCGGAAGTGGAACTCCGAACCCCCAAAGCTTCCGTTTGTTTGCAGATACGGCCGACAAGGACCTAGACTTAGTGATATAATTCTCCCGCAGGACATCCAAAAAACCCCCAAAACATTTAGCGCTGTATGTGGGGAGAGTACCTCTAAGATGGTTTCTCTAGAGACTGTATCGTCTCCTAAGGACAAACGTTCAGAAGCAAAGGTCCATTCAGACCATGATACAGATTCTAATCTAGAGATGGATCCCTTAAAACCAGACGCAAAAAAGGCGGGTCCGAGTAAGTCAACCGGCCAGCCCCAGGCGGCAGGACAGACCGCTCACATCACCAGAGAAGAGTTCATGAAATTCATGACGAGCTTTAAAGGGGAGATGAAGGACTTGATCACCAAGAAGACGGCTGGTCCCAGCAAGGGTCAATCGGCAAAGAAGCCCAACGAGGGAAGTGATTGGTACGGGTGATCGTCAGGATGGACTATATTTTTTGCGTATGGGTTCGACTATGCAAGCGGTTTTGGTGAACGGTTCTTCTACTTCGGAGCTTTGGCATAACAGATTGGGCCATCCTTTCGAAAAAGTTGTAAAGTGGCTCCCTTTTCTTAGTAACAACCCTGGGTGCATTAATAAAGATTGTGTGGTTTGTTTCCGTGCAAAGCAACCTCGGTGCAGTTTTCCTTTAAGTACTAATAAGACGACTCGTATTTTCGAGTTAGTTCATTGTGATCTTTGGGGTCCTTATGACCAAGTTTCCTCTTGTGGTGCTAGATACTTTCTTACTATTGTAGATGATTTCTCACGTGCAGTTTGGGTTTATTTGTTGATTGATAAAAATGAGGTCTTTCGTATGTTTATGTCCTTTATTGCTATGATAGATCGTCAATTTGATCAAAAATTAAAAATTGTGCGTAGTGATCATGGTACGGAGTTTAATTGTTTAATTGATTATTTTGATGCAAACGGTATATTGTTTCAAAAGTCATGTGTTGGCACTCCTCAACAAAATGGGAGGGTAGAACGAAAACATAAACACATACTTAATGTTGCTAGAGCTTTGAGATTTCAGGCCGGTTTACCCATTAAGTTTTGGGGTGAATGTGTTTTAACCGCAGCTCATGTCATTAATAGGACACCGTCTAGCATTTTAAACAAACGTACCTCGTATGAAATTTTGTTTGGCCAACCACCATCGTTTGATGGATTGCGTGTGTTTGGATGCTTGTGCTTTGCCCATAATCAATGTGCAAAGGGGGACAAATTTGCTAGTTAGTCTAGGAAGTGTATCTTTGTTGGCTATCCATTCGGCTCAAAGAGGTGGCATCTCTATGATTTAGACTCCAACAAACTTTTTGTATCTCGTGATGCACGGTTCTTTGAGAATGTTTTCCCAAACTTACAATCGGAGGTCACTAATTTTGTGCCTCACAATGACCAATCTAATATGGAACTGATTCCGGATTTTTGTGACTATGGTGAGTATGAAGTTGAGCAAATGGAGGCTCCCACATCCACAGACTTTCCTGTTGCGCAGCCTCCTCCGCAGCCAGGCCGTGGCGTGGAGCAGCACCCCACAGGCAGCCCGCGGCCCCTACTGCCACCCGCGGCCCCTACTGCCACCCGCGGCCCCTACTGCCACCCCTGGACAACACTACATCCGCAGCGCCCAATCCTCAACTGCGGCAAGATGTCGCTGTTTTTGCTGCGCCAGCCACTGAACCGGTGCAACAAGAGCCTACTAGCACTACTCACGACAGTTTGGGTCGTGGTCATAGGGAGAAAATTCCCAACAGTAGGTATCGTGATTTTATTACTCATACGGTCATCGAGCATAGTCCATCTCCCAATCCGCCTTCGCTCACACCTCCCTTAGGTACGCCTTATCCTATAGCACATTATGTTAGTTGTGACAAATTTTCTGCAAAACATCGTAATTTCATTGCAGCTCTTACAGCAGGGAAGGAACCTAGGTCCTTCAAAGAGGCAATTACAGACACAGGGTGGTGTCGAGCTATGCAAGATGAAATATGTGGCCTTGAGAACAACGACACGTGGGTCATGGAACGTCTCCCACCTGGTAAGAAAGCCTTAGGCAGCAAGTGGGTTTACAAGATTAAACACAAGTTCGATGGCAGTATTGAAAGGCTAAAAATCTCATTTAGTAGTTTTTGGCAATCATCAGGTTAGGGGGATTGATTATGATGAAGCATTTGCCCCGGTGGAAAAGATGGTTACAGTTCGGGCTCTCTTAGCCATAGCGGTTGCAAAGAATTGGGAGATACATCAAATGGATGTACACAACGCGCTTTTGCATGGTGATCTCGATGAGGAGGTTTATATGAAGCTTCCACTGGGATTTCACTCAGAATCTTCCGGCATGGTGTGTCGTTTGAAGAAATCTTTGTACGGGCTAAAACAAGCTCCAAGTTGCTGGTTTGCGAAATTGGTAACCGCTTTAAAACGATATGGTTTTATTCAATCATACTCAGATTATTCTTTGTTTACATACACTAACAAAATAGTTCAGTTGAATATATTAGTGTATGTGGATGATTTAGTAATTTCGGGAAATAATTCTGAGTCTATAAACTTGTTTAAAGACTACCTACATTGTTTAATATGAAAGATCTTGGAGTTTTGAAGTACTTCCTAGGTATTGAGGTAGCCCGTAGCTCGACAGGTTTATTCTCATCCCAAAGAAAGTATGCGTTGGATATTGTGAATGACTGCAAGCCCGCGTCATCTCCTATCAAGCAAAACCACCAGCTAGCTAGAGCTTCCGGACCTATTCTGGCTAATGTTGAATCATACCGGCGGTTAGTAGGTCGTCTTATCTATTTGGCTGTCACTCGACCAGATTTGTCTTATGCAGTCCATATATTATCTCAATTTATGCACGAGCCTCGGTAAGAGCATTTGGACGGAGCCATGCATGCGAGCGGTACTTAAAAGGTACTCCGGGTCAGGGTATATTACTTTGGTCAGACTGTGATTTATCTCTGAAAGGTTGGTGTGACTCAGATTGGGCAGCCCTCTTTCACGTCGTTCCCTCATTGGTTGGTTGGTATTTTTGGGAGGAAGACTAAGAAACAACATACTGTTTCTACCTCGTCTGCCGAAGCCGAGTATCGGTCCATGGCCGCAATAACCTGTGAAATGAAGTGGTTAAAGGGTCTTTTGTTAAGCTTAGGTGTACATCATCCTAAGGCAATTCCTCTTTATTGTGACAGTCAATCGGCATTACACATCGCTCAGAACTCGATATTTCATGAAAGTACCAAACACATTGAGGTCGATTGTATTTTTTATGGCATGGTTTTCGCGATGGGATAATTGCTCCATCTTATGTTCCAACTACGGAGTAGCTCGCTGATATATTTACTAAGGCATTGGGGAGGAAACAATTGGATTATCTCGTTCGCAAGTTGGGCGTTATTGATGTTCACGCTCCAACTTGAGAGGGAGTAATACGATAAACTTGGGTATCAAGATATCAAGAAGATAGAGTTGTAGGAGATATAAGATAATATTTTGTTAGTTGTTAGCATATATTATATTTGAGAGTATAGCATGTATATAAATATCTCCTTATACATTCAAGGAAGAAATCAAGAAAAATCATAAAGTATTTTCCGCTGTGTATCTCTTAGCAATTATTGATCAGTATTAGTAAATTTAGAAAACTGAATTTTTGATATTTCAAACCTGAAACGATCTTCGGATGAAGTGTAAGGATATATATGGTCGATTGCTACACTGATCAAAAAGAAAATATTCAGACAATAGCAGTACTTATCTTTGAATCTAGAGTTTTACTTTAAAAAGACTCTAATTTATTAAGCTACTTGGCACTTAACTATTCGGATTCATCTTAAGCGTATTGGAGGGCTGAATACTTTGTAAGATGTTCTTCCCATTGTGTTGGTGCAGAATAGTTGTGGGCCAACTTATTGATTTCGGTGCATTTTTCAGTGAATTTGCCAAAGTTAGTGTAGAGTCATACTTCACGAAATAATTCTAATTGTGATAACTCTTTAAATGTTTCTTATAATATATGAAGAAAGAAAAAAAAAAATTTCAAAAACACAGAAGTAGATAAAAGTAAAAGAAAAGCTTAAAATTTTAATATATTTGTATGAAATCTTTGATCATTACAATATATATTAGTATAAGTATCCTTGATATTTTTATTTTGTGTAGTGTATTTAGAGATTTGGTTGATAGAGTATATCAATAAATAATAAATTACGACAAAAAATTAATAATAATAATAATAATAATATTAAATAAAAAAAAAAAGAGTCGAGGAGCAAAGTTCCTCTGTGTTGGCATTATTATTATTATTATTATTATTATTATTATTATAGAATGTGATCTTTTATATGATTTGTCTTGATGTGTATGCAAAAAAATCTGAAGCTATAATTTTGTGATGGTGTAGCGTTATGAAACATAACGCATATTTTTGATGAGCTTAATCCTAACACCATGAATTTCAAAGTCAAAGTTAAAGTGATTGAGAAGGGAAGGCAGAGGTTGTATTCAAATGCTAGATCAACTATTTATCAACTTATGTATCTTGTTGATGATAAGGTATTTTATGCTTTTAAATTAAATTCTTCCTTATATTATTATTATTATTATTATTATTATTATTATATATATATATATATATATATATATATATATATATATATATATATATATATATATATGATGGTTTACATAGTCTATGGAGATTGAATCTTGCATAATTTTAAAGGTTAGATATATAAATAAATTATAAAATACAAATACAACAATAAAACGTTGTCTGTTAAAAAATAAGGTTATTATAAATTAATAAAGAAATGTTATTGATATAATTACGCATGGTCTTCTTCGTAAGGATATTCATCCTCTACCTCGGCCTAGATATTCATTAGATTTCGGCTCGGTATCTGTCATATTCTCGTTTATTAGGATCTCCAGTTCTCCACGTTGTTCGTTAATTGTAAACTACCTCAAAACTGTAAATGTGATCTCTGTACTTTTGTACTTTGTATGTATTGATGACTTTCTTCTGTATTTGATGTACACGTTTTATACATTGATTTATCCCGACTTTACATCATATTCTTGCTCGGTTTTAGGCTCTTTAGAGCAGTTTCTCGCTAACAATCTCTTCTCTAGTGTGTTCGATGTGTTTTTGTAAGTTTTAAAGGAATTTGGAGTCTCTTGGATGATTCGGACACGTTTCTATTGTATATGGAGATGTTAGTGAAGCAAGGATGGAGAGCCAAGCTAAGAACGAGCTATAAAGCATTTAACCCTGCTATGCCCAGTAAGGCCATGCCTGCTCGGTTGCACCGGGCATAGAAGGGTTGCTGTGAGCTGCTAATTACGAAGAATTAAAGCAAGCTAAGCCATTTATCCCACGCGCCCGATCGGGTTATGTGTGCCCGGTTGGATCGGGCGCGTGGTGGTTGAAGCAGCTACGAAGATACGAAGCAGAGCAGGCAGCATTTGAAGAGTGTGCCTCGCGCCTGATCGGGCAGCCATTGCCCGGTTGGATCGAGCGCCAAGGAGAAGGTCACGACGGAAGCAGTGTAGCATTGAAGTTCCACCTGCCCGATCGGGTGGTTCTCGCCCGGTTAAACCGGGCACAGTTATGCGGAAGTCCACTACTAGAAAACAGCTGATTTACAAGGGAAATATTCCATCGGTAACCCTTAAAAATCCGTCGGAAAGTCCAGTTTCCGACAGAATTCCGTCGGAACACGCTGTCGGAAACCCCTTTGTAGGAAATTTGGGTTATACCGAGGGATTTTCCGTCGGAAACTTCCTTACCGACGGAATTTTCGACGGATTTTAGTTTCTCGGAACCTTAGTTTGACCAGAATTGGAGGTCCGTCGCAACCTTCCGACGGAATAAAATCCCTCGGAATATTCCCCTGTTCCGACGGAAATTTCCGTCGGAAGGCCCCACCTTTCCAAGGGAATTTTCCGTCGGAAGTGGGGAATGTTACGAGGGATTTATTCCGTCGGAAGCTTCCCTTTTCCGAGGGATTATAATTCCGTCGGAAGATCCCCTTTTCCGAGGGATTATAATTCCGTCGGAAGATCTCCTTTTCCGAGGGATTATAATTCCGTCGGAAGGTCTCATTTTCCGAGGGATTATAATTCTGTCGGAACTTTTCTTCTTTGCGACGAAATAAATTTCTATTTTGGCTATATATTTTCCTCCCGGACAAACCTGTAATTCCTGCTTCTTATATTATATTACTTACTGAATAATTTGTGCAAATATATATATATATACTAATTCCAATGTTTACAATAAACACTAAGTTAATATAAAATTACAACTAACAAACACTAAGTTCATCAATGCTATATAATAGCGCGAGAGCCCTGGCCAGCTCCACCAAAACCCAGGTCGTCGTCCCTGGGATCTCGAAATGGAGGTCGCACGTTGGAACATGGGTCATTGGCGTAACGACCCATCATCCTTTCTTCCAGCCTCTTCTCCATTTCTTCCATTTGGGCTTGTAGTTGGGCTTGAACTCGGGCTTCCATGTCGGCTTCCATTTGTTCCCGAAGAGCCTGGACCCTGGATTCCATCTGATCCTGCATTTGAGAAACAAAGGAGGGTGTGTACTGCATGGAAGAGGTGGAAAGTCGGCGACCTATCTGGCTGCCATAGTACATGTCAGCACTTTCGCCTAGTCCCTTCACACGTCCTTTTTTGTTCCGACCACCCACTGTCTCCCAGTACAGCTCATTCAGACTCTTCTGAGTCCTTTGAGTGCTAGCCGCCTCAACCCTCTTTTGGTAGGCCTCCTACAAGATAAACATATAAAAGGGAACAAACGAGGTAGTAAGTTATACAAATAAGCTAAACCAAATTGAGCCAACTATGGCCTATATGACCTATTCTTTGCCCATTTTCTATGTTTTTGACCAAATGAACAATTTCTTTCTCTAAACATGCATATTTTAGGTATTTTAAGGGTTTCATGACTTGAAATCATAAAAAACTACAAGTCTCTAAGGTTTGGGACGCATTTTTAGCCAAATGGAGCCAACTATGGCCTGTATGACCTATTCTTTGCCCATTTTCTATGTTTTTGACCAAATGAACAATTTCTTTCTCTAAACATTCATATTTTAGGTATTGTAAGGGGTTCATGACTTGAAATCACAAAAAACTACAAGTCCCTAAGGTTTAGGACGCATTTTTAGTCAAATGGAGCCAACTATGGCCTGTATGACCTATTCTTTGCCCATTTTCTATGTTTTTGACCAAATGAACTATTTTTTTCTCTAAACATCTCTATTACAGGTAGTCTAAGGGGTAAATGCCTTGAAATGCCAAAAAAATACAACTCCCTAAGGTTTGGGACGCATTTTGGAGCCAAATCGAGCCAACTATGGCCTATATGACCTATAATTTGCCCATTTTCTATGTTTTTGACCAAATGACCTATTTCTTTCTCATAACATGTCTATTATAGGTATTCTAAGGGGTTTATGACTTGAAATCACAAATGACTACAAGTCCCTACGTTTTGGGACGCATTTGGAGCCAAATTGAACCAACTATGAAGTATATGACCTATAATTTACCCATTTACTACGTTTTCGACCAAATGACCTATTTCTTTCTCATAACATGTCTATTATAGGTATTCTAAGGGTTTCATGACTTGAAATCACAAAAAACTACAAGTCCCTACGTTTTGGGACGCATTTGGAGCCAAATTGAACCAACTATGAAGTATATGACCTATTATTTACCCATTTACTACGTTTTCGACCAAATGACCTATTTCTTTCTCATAACATGTCTATTATAGGTATTCTAAGGGGTTCATGACTTGAAATCACAAAAAACTACAAGTCCCTACGTTTTGGGACGCATTTGGAGCAAAATTGAACCAACTATGATGTATATGACCTATTATTTACCCATTTACTATGTTTTCGACCAAATGACCTGTTTCTTTCTCTAAACATGCATATTTTAGGTATTGTAAGGGGTTCATGACTTGAAATCAAAAATAACTACAACTCTCTAAGGTTTGGGACGCATTTGGAGCCAAATTGAACCAACTATGGCCTATATGACCTATTCCTTGCCCATTTACTACTTTTTCGACCAAATGAACTATTTCTTTATCTACACCTATTCATGAATAATGAACCAAGGAAAAAAGTTTAGGGAATTTGTTACCGCAATTTGCTGAGCTGTGGGGTTTACTGGCATTGTGCCTTTCCCAGGCAGCTCCTTGAAGTGTGTCTTCAGAAACAGCTCAGAAGCTATTGGTAGCTGGCCCTTGTTCTTCGCCGCCTTTGATACAAAAAAATAGGAATAATCGTTAACCATGTCAAACCCTTGTTACATTGAAATACACAAATATGTCTTGTAATATAAGATATTTTTAAATAAACTTACCATCATTTTTGCATGTTGGGTAGTTGCCAACGAACCCTGAAAGTGGGTTCCTTGGACGGGATTTTCCATAAAACCGCCCCTTCTGTTCTTCTGGTTCTGCGCCGAACTCTCCTTGTAAGTTGGATCGTTAGCAACAATGTCCATCATCTGCTTGTGGAGCTCCGCACTCAACCAACTTGGCCTGGCGCCTTTCATCTTGTGCGTGATGGTGTGGAACATGTCACGCAGGCGTGTGGCTACCCTCCTCCGAAATGTGATCTTCACTAGCTCGTCCATCTGAGGTGCCCATCTGTATTGTGCCTGCAAATGATAAAATACAAAAGTTATACACAAAACTAAATCAACACAATAGCTAAAACATGTATTTACCAAGACCCAAAAATATCATACGCTGAACAAGTTCCACCAGTGTTCCTTCGTAGCTGGAGGCACTTAAGAGAAGTTCCTCCAAGGGGCTCGGTAGTATCCAGTAATCGTACCGGATACCGCACTCCGAACCTTAGGATCATCAAACCTATAACAAACGGGAAACAACAATGTTAAACAAGTTCGAAATATGTAATATAAGCCTTGTATCTGATCATCCATATCATGATATTTACTTACCACAGCGTAGTAGGGTCCAAAAACGGGAGCTGTGACTCATCTTGTGGCTCGTCCTTTGACTCATCCCGTGGCCCATCGTCTGCAGGAGTGGATGGCCCCGTCTGATCCTCACCCAAATCGGCTGCCTCCGCATCGAACATCTCCTCATCCTGGTCGTCGGTGAACAGGGCGCGGGCGGTCTCTTTCTCTTTCCCCTTTGCTTTCTTCGACGACTGCCCACTTTTTCCACCCGCCATGACTACCTGAATCAGATGTTAGTAAAATGACAAGATATTATAAATAAGGAGTGCAGTGCAACGTAATATGGCTTTTATACAAACACTAAAAAGTTTTACATAAGCCTCATTAATATTTTGATTTTACAATAAGAAGCATACGTTTAAAGGAGATAAACATTTTCTCCTATTCAGTACTCTCATCACTACTTTCACTACTAGAGTCATCACTACTATCATCTAATACTACATCGATGTCATCATCATCGTCACTATAACTAGAGCCGATACTAGATTCATCGTCTTCATCGCTTGAGATCACAAAGCCATCGTCA